AATAATATAATTATACAATTATATTAATAAATAATATTAATATATTATTATAATTATATATTTATTTTAATTAAATATTATTTTTAATATAATAATTTTTAATATAATATAATTTTAATTATATATTATTAATATAATTACATAATTATATTAATAAATAATAATAATATATTATTATAATTATATATTTATATTAATTTAATATAATTTTTAATATAATAATTTTTAGTATAATATAATAAAAAGTGAAGTAAAATGTAAAATAAAGTAAAATATTTAAATTTAAATTTAAAATATATATTTATATTTAAAAAATATAATATTAAAATTTTAAAAATATATATATATATTATATTTATAAGTATATTAATAATTATATATAACATTATAATATATATATTTAATAATTTAATTTCTTAAATGAATAAAACAATGCGTATTCATTCCCATAAAAAAAAAAAAATATAAAATAACATAATGGATTTTAAAAATGAGAAAAAATAAAAATGACTTTTTCCGTACTTAAAATATTCTATAAAAATAACAAAATAATTTTATAAAATAATGCGTATATATTTATATGGGTGTTTATTACTCACGCAGGACTAGGTGGCCGATGATTTCCAGGACTTTCAAGAATAATAGGATCATGATCAGGATATCTCGAAGTAGGCATGACGATTGGTTGACTTGTGGTACAGGAATGAGGTACCTTTCCCACGTCACGTATCAATAAACTCATTTTCTTGTTTGTTTTCAAAATTTGTACAGCTTCGTCGTGCGTTGCTTCCTCAAAATTCTGTCCATTAACTTCTATGATTTGATCACCGACCTATTATATACGTTCCCAAAATTCAAACAAATAAAACACAGAGATTAATTATATTCCTTTAACAATTTATTCGTAGGATTAACATAAATGTTAAATTGAAACAAAAATGATACTTTGATCAAATTAATCAATGAGATTTTGGATTTTGATTTTGATTTTGATTTTGATATTTCTTCTTTCTCATTCATTTTTTTTACGTTATCAATGATTTTCAGATTAAAATTTGGATGATTCAGAAATAAATTCCGGTATGTCTAAAAATTATTCGAGATATTATTTAACATTAAAAAAGTATTTTATTCGTGTTGGTTAAATAACGATATTCGATAATTCGATAAATCGATTAAAATCTATAAAAGCTTTTTTGAAGGAGTAGGTCAATATTTTAACCAAATACAACCATTTTTAAGTATTAACAAAAAAAAAAAAAAAAAGAATCTCTTCGATTACTATTTTAGAACGTGTGTGTGTTCATATAAATCGAAAAGACTTTCCTATTTAAACTTATCTCTTAGATTTGATCTTAATATAGTATCAGATACTTATCGTAGATAATATTTGTTATACTTCATGAATTTCATTTTCAAATTGAAATATCTGATCTTATTTTTAAGAGAGATTATTTATCGAGTTGAAAAATAATTTTGAAAAGAAAATAATCTTACAAGTACGAAATTCAACATTTCATAATTAATAAATTAATGTAATATTATACTAATATAATTTATATTATATTACTAATATATATTATATTATATTAAATAATAAAAAAATTTGTTTGTAATCTAAAAAAAGAAAAAAAATTAGTAATATATATTATTTTAAATAATATTAATATTATTATAATATATTTTTGTCATAATAATAATAATACAATTAATAATATATTAATAATTAATATATAATAATAATATATAATAATAATAAATATAATATAATAATAATTAGTATTATTAATANAGTATTATTAATATATATATATATATATATATATATATATATATATATATTTTTATTATATTAATAATATAAATATAAAATAGTATATAATTAATTAAAAATAATATATAATATATAAATATTTTTGTAATTTAAACAAAAATTAATAAACAATAATTTATATTGTATTAAATAATATTAATATAACATAATAAAAATATATATATTGATAATATAAATATAAAATAGTATATTTAATTAATTACAATAATATATAATATATAAATATTTTTGTAATTAAAGAAAAAATTAATAAATAATAATATATATTATATTAAATAATAATAATATTAATATAATGTAATAAAAATATATATATGTATTAATAATATAAATATAAAATAGTATATAATTAATTACAATAATATATAATATATAAATATTTTTGTAATTTAAGAAAAAAATTTATAAATAATAATATATATTATATTAAATGATATTAATATAATATAATTAAAATAATATATAAAATTAATTAATTTAATATATATATATATATATATATATATATACAATTATAATATATATTAATTTAATTATAATATATATATTATAATTAATTATAAAATAATTTAATTTTAATTATATAAAATATTAATATAAAATATAAAAATATATAATTATTATTATATATTGTTTTAATTAAAAAAAAAAAAAAAAAGAAGAAAAAAGGTGTTACTTGCCAAAAGTCCAGCACGATCGGCAACACTGTCCTTGTCTACACCAGTGACATATATTCCAAGGCCATATTCAAGACCACCTCTGATCATAAGACCAAGGGATTGTCCTGGTTCGATGCAAAGTTCGACCTTTCGCGTTCTCGGTCCATATCTGGAATCTCGAGATGAAAAAAATGGTGGAGGTGAAGCTGGTCTTCCTTGACGGTCCATCCAACTGCAAGATTGTTGACGACCCGAACTTGGCCAAACGGGATGACCAACTCTACAACGAGGATCTAATGCTGGTCCTCTTACCGTCATGCTCAATGTCCTACAGGATTTCAACATCTGTTAACAAGAAAAAAATATTATTCATAAATTATTTTTATTTTTTTTTTTTATTCAATTTACAAAATTCTGCATCGTTAATTCCTAACAAAATAATTTTCGGTATATTTCTTGTTATATATTTTTTTTTTTTTTAGATTTTTATTTTATTGAGTTTTGTACAATTTATTTAGGAAAACAAAAAAAAGAAAATTAATATAAAAAAATTACCAAATTATTTTACACGTAAAATTTCATATTTTCGAACGACTTATTTTACAATACCATATACATATTTACATATACACCATATAAAATTATTTTACAATTAGATAAATAATTGTATATGGTGCACAATATTTTTTAAAATTAGATAAACTTTTGTTTTATAATTGGATTATTATTTTAATTACATAAATAATTATTTATATATTATTAATAACTATATAAATATATTATGTATTAATATATTATTAATTACATATATATGTAATTATTCTTTATTGTATATATTACTGCGAGCACAAATTTTTGTTGAATAATTTTCTATCATCAATCTTGCTTAAACAACACATTTCTATTATTTCAAAATATTTCTATTATTCGTAGGTAATTTTTACTTGCAATTAATCTTCATTAACCATACAAATTACTGAAAAAAAAGAGAAAAAAAAGAAAAGGTGTTTTAAGAATACGAAATAAATAATAGTCTGACATAGTAAAGTATATTAGTCTGGGATCGTAAAGAATAAGAGTGAGTGCATTAAAACTTTCCTGTTTAAAGTCCCAAGAAATTTTGTCGAGTTGCCAACTAAAAAAAAAAAAAAAGAAAAAAAGAATAAAAAATAAAAATGTTGAGCTAATATTTGTGTCCACGAGAGTGTGAGAAATAATACCTTCTTCTTCTACGTTGACTAATTATTCTCTCTTGTCTCTTATGGTTAGAGATAATAAACAATTTGCTGTTGTATATCGAAACCTTTGAAGATTATAACAGATATAAAATAAAAAAATAAAATTGAAACAAAATGGTTTTATAAGAAAAGCCACGAACTTTTCATTAGCAACTATTTCTATTTTTTTTTTGTTTTTCAAATTTTCTATGAAGTCAGTTGGTTATTAGTAACATCAAAGGATTCGGTTAATAATGTTAAAATTAATTAGAAATAAGAATAAAGTTTAATAATGGGAAGATGATAATAATAATAATAATAATAATAATAATAATAATAATAATAATAATAATAATAATAATAATAATAATA